TCCCTACAAAAAGTTTGCCTTTATGACTGAGGTCTTCCGTACTGCACTTTCTCCTACGCGACCCTAAGACCCTATGTGCAAACTAGTCTATGTACAAATTAAGAATTTCAAAGGTTATAATCAAAAAGTTGCAGGCAAAATAGTTATCAATCTTTAGAGTGGAAAAAGTGGTTGCCGTTATTACTACCAAAGACACCAAAACATCTCCTAACTACGTACCACAGATACAAGTTGCATTTCTTCCTTAAAATTCCACGTGTTCTTCATGTTTTACCCATAAACCCAAGTACTCTTCGGATAAAGCCTCCAATATATAAACACGGTAGAAATATCATTACTATTCTCAGTACGCAAAAATGCTACCTCTTACATCTACTAAATCTGGAGTTACCAGGGTTAAAAAAATAACTGCAGATTTTCCACAAAAAGTACCAGGTTATTCTTTTGCTAAAGAGGAAAATGCCAATTTCAAGACCTAAACAAGTCAAGCAATACTAAGCTTCAATTCTGTAACACACCCAGTACAGACTGCTGATTATTCTGCATTTCGAATCATACAATTGTCTAGGCTGGAAGGGACCTTTAAGACCATCAAGTCTGAATTAAGGAAAACAGAAAGAATACTTGTGCTTTTGAAGTGTAGGGTGTTTAAAGATAGAGAAGAAAAGGGGAAAAAACTATTTGGCAATTTGTTTTTTGTAGTTGATTTTAAGGAGTTTGTTGACATAGAATAATGAAAAATATAAAAGTCGAAAAGAAGCATAACTATAAAAGCTGACGTTCCACAAACCTATCCTAGAGATTTGCTTCCAAAGCAATTAGAAATATAATTTTGCAAAGCACTTTCCCTAATTTTATTTTCAGCTGAAAAAGAGACATCACTCTTCCTGGTTACCTAAATGCACCAAGATATATTCTGAAGTCCTGTGTAGATCCCAAGTCCATCACCCTAAGTACATAACAGAGGCTGTACCAGCTCAGGCCAAAAGTCAGCCTTGTTCACATCCAATAGTGGACTCCTAAAAAACATTAAGGGAACTGAGGAAATATATTATATATCCTAGTATATATTCTCCCAGCCTGCACCATTTGCATCTCAGGGATATCCTGAGGTAGAAAACGCTATCTTTGTATTTAAAATAACTCCACAAAGGAAAGAGACTGAAAAATTACTGAAGTCAAAGGCTGCATTATCTTTAAAGAACACATCCATTCGCATGTGAATAAAATTTATGCAGCTCCTTGTCTCGTCTTGGTTAGCAGCTAGCTGAAAAGATACACTACACCTAATTCAACTTATTATCTCACATTTAAATATCCTAGTTTTGAAATCTGCATTCTTTAAGGTCAATATTAGCACACTAGTTAACCATGCCACCTTCCAGCACCCCATTTCAACTTCCATTCAACCTAGTTTTTAAAATCAGAGTGTGTGTGCAAGGGGGAGAAGTCACCTGAAAAACATTATTATATAGACTGAGGAATCTGCAGAAAAAGTCTCCCGACAAAAAGTTTGCTTTTATGAGTGAGGTGGTCATCAGTACCGCACTTTCTCCCACATGACCCTAAGACCGCCACCCCCCGAGTTCCTCAACAAATGCTACACCACTTGCCATGATGATGAACTGGGGAAGTTAGCTACCCAACAGATCCAGACAGAAAATGCAAACAAATCATTTTAGTTAAAAGATAGGATAGATTGCCATTCTTAGTTTTTACAATAGCACAACGGTCTAAGCTAGAACAGTCATACCTTCCTACTGGAAGGAAAACCCAGGAAAACTGAAGCAGCAACTTACCAAAAAAAGAACAGAACAGTTCTGATATATTCCTTTGTCAACTCAACATTACAAACTCATTCGCAAAGGAGGCGTAAGAGGCAAGGTAAGTAACTAGTCAAAGATGAAGTGAGAAAAAAGTCTCTGATAAGCTTACTATACTTTAGGGAGCAGAAGGGGAACGAGAAGGTGATACTTTTGATAGATTAACAATAATTGTTATTGAGAGAAAGATTACAGAGACCTAAAAACAATTATAAGATCTGATAAATAAATGCAAAGCTCATCAATATGTTTAGCAACAAAACTAATGACTACTCATTGAACGTGCAAGAACAAACAATAAATCACTTCATTACAAGGAAAAAATGCCAATCGGGAACATTCACATTGGTTGCACCACTTTAAACATAGTCAATTAGGGAGATTTTCATCATTGAAACTTCTTAAACAGTCTTAAAAAGATGTCAGAGAAAAAGTAGATACTGTTTACCAGCTCATTACAATTTTAGTCTGGCATAATTTGTACTCCATGTTGTTCAAGGGAATCAGGGTTTCATATTTCATGAACTGGACACTAAAAAAAAATAAATATATTTTCTACAGAACTGTACTATTCATTGTGACAAAATTTCCTTCCCCCTTTTGGGGGGACAGAGCAAGATCGATATTAGCATTACATGTATGCACATCCCTAAATAAAATTCTCAACTTACACAATTAATTTTCCCCCCCTCTATATTTAGAAGAAAACAATTATGGAAAAAACTCTCATTCTGACAAGCCTAGAGATGAAAAGTAAAGTAACAGGAATTACATTCAGATTTAATAAATCCACTGCAGACACTTCAACTCCTCCCCACACATTTTCAGTGAAATAATACATCAGTGACCACAGGGAGGAGAAAGCATCACCAGAAATTAGATGCAATTACTGTCCTAATCCCTACAGACACAAAGATTGAGAATACGCTTTATCTCCATTTGACAGAAACCCATCCTTTTACAAGAACACCACATGATTTGCTATAAACTTTTAGGTCTGAATCACATTTAAAAATAAGAACAGGAGGCATTACTTTCCAATTTATTTTCCTGGTACATAAGTACTTATCTCCCACTCCAAGAATGTAGTTCAACTGAATTGAATTTACTCTGCAATATAATGTAATTCTAATAAGGAAAACATTTATAAATGTATAAAATTATGAAATGTATATAGGACACAATAAATAGAAAAATTAAAAACAATGTAGTTACATTTTCTGCAGTACATATACGTATGGACTTACATATGCAGGACTGAAACTGGATGAATATTAATCAACCATACGAATGGGTTGCTTTATACACACAATCCAAAGAGCACTCCAACTTGACTGAAATCATCTGATTGCCTAACTGACACGCCGTTAGTTTGGCTCATTGGGTTTGGCCAAATATCCAATAATTTAATGTTTTGTGGTATAAGGTGAGAAGAGACATAATATTTTTCTGAAAAAAAATCCTGCTTTGCTAAAAAACTATGCACACATATGGTTCAAAAGACAAACGAGAGTACAGAAATGCATGTATTTAAAGATCCCATAAAATAGGACAGGGCTTGTGGGCCAGATGGCTTTTTACCAGATCTTTGTAAAAGGGGGTGGGCAGAAGTAATCTGCAGTGTGACTAAGTCCCTTTGCATATACACAGGTCTGTCTCCAGGATAAGTTACCAGAATCTGTAACACTAAAATAAAACTTCATATTCATACAGAAAAACAGTACCCTGTTTGAGGCACATAACAGTTCCCACTTGAAAAAAAAAAAAAATAATGCAGTTAACACAAGAGGAAAATTTACTCTCCTGCTACTTCTAAATGGCATTTAAACAGACCGTCAGGAAGAAGTAAGACGACACAAATAAAGCAGTGTGCAGACAATTAAAACTGCAAATTTCAATGAACACAAGAAATTTCAAGAAAGGCCCTATTTTAAAAACATTAACCCAAAAAGCTATGTAGCAGAGACATGGCAGTGCTTTCACAGAGGCTGCAGGTTTTAAAGGAAAGTTGTGCTGGAGAGAATTCCATTCCTGAATCAACTGTAGAAACCGCTCAGAGCAAACTTCTTACCTGCTGATCTTTCCTCACAGTCCATACTACCATTAACAGCTCCTTTCCCTCTTTTCCCGTTTTCCATCATTCGTTGACATGAAAGTACCCGTTTTTCCCATAGAAATGAATGAGAAGAAAGAAAGGAAAGGACTACTGACTTACTGCCTGCAGATCGGACCACCAGAATTGCAAGTGGAGCTCAGGGAAGGAAAAAGAAAGATTCAGAAAGCCATGGAAATTCTTCTTCCAGGAAGAGGAGATCCAGAAGATCTCCAGAAGGTATTCTATAAGGAACACAGGATCAACAACAATAGAGAGAGGAAAGAAGACCTGGAAAATGGTCAAGAGCGTATAAGCAGAAAGGATGCAAGCTTCTGCCACACTCACAGCATACTGTTGATAGTATACTCTAATATGGGCTATAAAGTTTAAAGAAGGAAAAAGTTACATTCAAGGCCTTAAACAAAAGCCTGTAAAAGAATCAGTGGCAGCTGTATTGAACTCACAACTGAACACACCTTTTTAATTGCAGAATGACGTTATTTCTTCTTCTCCAATATTACAATGATAAAGAATTTACAGACCAGATTATGTTGTCCAGGGTACAAGCATAACATTGCTGATTTTATTTATGCTCTTAATTAATTTTGCGCAAGGAATTATTATTTCAATATTGTTGTTATTTATATAATCAGAGCACTAAAAAATCCTAGTCAAGGTGCAGAATTTAATTGTGCAAGGTACTGGAGAAGCACGTAACAGAGACAGTTCTTGTTCCCAAGAGTTTGGAAGCTACGAATGAAGGAAGACAAAGCTGATCCCGTTTACTTATTTATGTATGTCTGCACACAGACTACAAGAGACCAACGAAGACCATGGGTTAACAAGGTCCACAGTTGCTTCGCCACATTTATTGTCTAACCACTGTCAAGGTTCTAAAACCTTGACAGCAAAACAGACTTAAAGAGGGATTTAACAGATCAGAAGTCTTTGCAATGCTTTGTGAGGTGCTGTGTCAATAGGAAAATATTAATAAATTTCACCCAGACATACTTGTTTTTAAGAATTAAAAGAACGGACAACAAAGACACTGCAGGATAATGAAGAGTAGGAAGTTGGTAACAATAGAGTTGCTTACAAACAAAATAAGTAAAATACCTTCTGTAACTTTTGTTTACTATCCATATTTGCAGAAGTAAATGGTATGTCATTTGTCACAAAAATTGAACGACAAGGGCTAAAATACAAACAGAAGACAGATGTGGTAAGTAAAATGCTGTCATTTTTGTAAGTTTTCAAAGCAGCCATTGCTTTAATATTCATTAACTGTAGAAACCCTTTATTTTATCCCTAAAGCCCTAATTATTGTGAACCCACTGTCATCTACATTTTTTTGCAAGACTGCATCCTCTCCCTTTTTAGAAAACTTAATTAAATCTTTAATAAGCCAGTATAAATGTAAAGGATGTGGAACACAAAATATCACCTTATGCATATTTATTAAATTTCTGCAAACCCTAAAGCATTTCTCCCCAGATTAATGGTATAGAAAAAATTGATTTCAGTTTACCTGTCAATTCCTCTCCTTGTAATAATTCCATCTGTTAGTTCTCATGACAGGGACCTTACTACTAAATACTGTCTGGATATAGTCTCCAGAACTTGGTATCATCCCTACAGCCTAAACCACAGCTGATCACTTCCTCAGGTAATTGATTAAAATAATGCTGTTCTAATCATTGTGTGAAATTAAGCGTGAAATCTACCCACCCTCAGCAAGTGGACAGCCTTGTTTACATATTCTTGCTTAAGGACTAGCATATAAAGTAGTCTAAGATCATGGAGGAGGCTACCAATGACATTCAAGTGGTGTTACGGCCATACGGATATGAGATCTTGTATATGGTGATAGCATAAGCACAATTTCTAAAACTACTTAATCCAATATATTTACTTCAGGTAATTCATTAGACTTCTTTTGACAAGCAGAGATAGTAAGA